CTCTTTATCCTAAATCATCATGTATAATCAGGTATGTTCTTTAACACGTATTTCAGGCAACATCAATTAACTCACATATAAACATATAATTAATACTTCAATCAATACTTGTATTAAAATCATGTTCATGAAAGAGACTATGCACTCACCTGATAAGGTGGTGATTCGGTACTCGGACAGCGCTTCGTTTACTCAAAACAGCTTCTTTCGACAAAACCTAGTATCATTACTACTAGAGTTTAGTCTAAGGTTCAACGAGACTAATTCATAGTCTAACTATTATTACTATTATATAAGCGTTAACACAATACTCTTCACCCACTATGTACAGATAGGGGTCAGACATAAAACACCGGAGGGTTGGATCATTTTGGCATATAACACTTCTGAATCCAGCAACCCCGACGGCCCTCCAAACCAGATTCCTCGTACCACGAGTGGTTAAAAAGATATTATAACGACACTTATATAACTCATAATAATAGCCCAAATACTCATTATAAGGTCCTAATAACATTACTATATTAACACATAAGCTATACTAAAGATAGGTTAGGCGTAGCTCACTTACAGTGGGGTTTTCTCTAAACCGAGCTCCGCCGAAACATAGTTTCTGAACCGAAGCCTCTTCTTCTCGGAGCCGTCGGGCGCTCCGGGGCTTCCGCCTCGTGCTACGGAGGTTCCCTAGGACTTTTGGGGGGTTTAAGGGCTAGAGAGAGAGGTTCTAGAGAGAGAAAAAAAAGTTGGAAGGTGTGAGGAAGAGTGGAAGCCTCACCTCTTATTTATAGGGGGCTGGAGGGTCACTCACGTTGTGAACCAATGATGCTCACGTCGTGAGCCAGCTGGAGACATCAAGGTTGAGCCTGGCGCTGACACGTGGCATCACACACAGGGTGTAAATTAGCCGATTTAAAAAATTCATAACTTTCGTGTACGAGCTCCGTTTGTGACGTTCTTTATATCCACGCGTAGGTAAAAATAAGATCTTCAACTTTCATTTTGACTATGTCGGCTAATTCTCGACCGATTTTAAATTTAACAGTACGAGGAGATTATACTGTTAAATGATTGCGAAAAATTCATATCTTCTACGTACGGACTCCGTTTTCGTCTGTATTTTTATCGTTGAGTCCCTATTAATGAGATCTTCAATTCTCATTTAGGTTGCGTTGGCTAAAAATCGCTCGATCTAAAATTCGAGTTTCGGTCTGTGCACTGCTAAGCCAAATCTTAGAAAAATCATAAGTTCCTCATACGAAGTCAGATTTGGGCGTTCTTTTTATGCATGCTCTCGGTTTAATGTATACTACAACTTTCGTTTAGTTTATTAAGGCTAAAAATCACTCTATCGTAAATTCACTACTTACGTCTCGCAGTGTTGTGCCGGTTTTATCGTGAAACTTCGACGGGCCATAACTTCTTCGTTATAACTCGGATTTCGGCATTCTTTATATGTACGGAACCCTTGTAACATATACTATAACTTGGTTAAGATTACTCCTCTAAATAATCTTCCATCAAAAACTCACTTTTGATGCTCATCGTCTCTAAATTGACTAGCCCGGATCTGCGGACGTTACAATTATCTCACCCTTAGGATGATTACGTCCCGGAATCATCAACGAAACAGGGCTACAACCTCTTATGGGTGCGGTCTGTTGTTCCTATTATGAGCGCGTCTATTGTTCTTATTACGTCGATGCATATTTTTTACTCGATCTAATGTAATTTAATGCAAACCAATCACATTAGACTAAGGGAACTTGATGATATTGGGTCAATTGGCAAGGCCCAATAGCATGACGACCTGGCTGCCTACCAGCAATGATGGCCAACACTGCTTGGTCAGCATTGCTTGACTGCATCATCATGACTGCCTAGCACCATCACGTGACTGCCCAACTGGCTTGCATAGCTTCCAACTAGCTAGGCCTTAATTGAGATGGCCCAAGGCGTAATTCTTCTTGACCTAATTGTCCCCAATAAATAGAACACTTCCTCATCTGTGTGGGCGGCTTTTCCTGAGATAGATCTCTCTCTGATGGCTAGATCAACCCTCAGTACATACACACATTGCATCACCAAGATGATTCCCTCCCGCCTAGAGAAACCGTCTCCTCATACATACCGATCTAACTTGATCGTCGGAGCCTAGAGAAACCATCTCCTCATTCATCCCTTGGCCAGTTCTAATAATCTTGTTAGCTGATTGCATCTAGGAATCTAGTCAGGAACCTACTAACAACGCTTATCCCGATCCACTATCCAAATCCAACACCAAGACCCGATGACCAGATTTCGAGTTCGCATCACTAGACACATACAAACCCATACATGGCAACATACATAAATAGTACCAAAACACAAAAAAAAGAAACCGAATAAAAAGATACACAAGGAAAAATTAAAAACCCTACAAATAAGAATCAAGAATGATTGTAATTCTACTAGCATTTTTGTTTCTTTGAGAATAAATTGTGCAAACATTTTTTGAAAGATAGAAGCAACAAAAGAATTGAAAAACATACCAAACTGAAAAACATTTATATGAAGTCCACATACGTACAATATCCAATTTAGATATGAAAGAAAATAGTTTCTGATTTATTTGGGTTACGTTGATAATTGATTGTTGATTCTACGGGATTCATCATAATCGAATAGAGTATAGATGGAGTATAAGATATTTGAGCGGGAAAAAAAACGAAGGATATAACGTCATGGGGCACAAGTTATACTCTTTTATTAGAATAAAAAATACCCTTCAAAGGTTTTTTGAACATTTAACTATAGAATATAAATGATACCGAGAATTTATATCAGAAGTAAGAAAAAGCATAATAAAGTTAGACTATTATCAAAAGAAAGTCATGAAAAGTGATACTTCTTCCGTCCTATATTAATAATCTATGTTTCTTTTTTGGTTTGTTCCAAAATAATACTATATTTCTAAAAATAAATATCTTTATTACCAAAACACCCCTCAATTTATTAGTTAAACTACAATGGAATTAAATGCAACTACAATGGAATTAAATGCAACAAAGGGGTAAAACTGTCTTTTCATTTAATAAAGTTAATGGTAATTAATTTTTTCTTAATCTGTGTGTTTTTTATCTGTGGACAATAATTTTGGAACGGAGGGAGTATGAAACGTGTTTTGCCTTATTACATCTCAACAGTTGCTTTCTGTTTAATCAAATTAATCTCAGCAACAATTAATAACTCCAAAACAAAGCATATATACTACCCCGTATAAAAAAACAAAGGAAATTCCATAATTTATTTCAAACAAAGCAAAAACGATATTCATTATTACATATATAGCTTCTTTCAAACAAAGCATATATCATCTTCATTAGATAGATTCTGTTAAACATAATAAAGAAACAAATTGGGATTCCAAGAACAGCCGTATCTACTTTAACATCTATATTAAAAAAAAACAACTGAAAATTCCAGGAATATAGATTTACTTTGAATTGTATATAGAATAATTTCTTAAGTATACTTTTGGGGTTCTCCTATGTACTCACTGGATTTGGACTGAACAAGTTAAATATACGGACAGTTGTCTTCATGTTGGCTTTCAGCCTCAAGGAATCGCAGTTGTTGCTTTTGGAGACTGTAATTGTTATTTGTATCATTTTCTTCGAATAGTAGACAACAAAAAATTCTTGGCCTGGAAATCAACGGATGGCATGTAAGTTGAAGAGGAATAAACATTTTTGCAACAACAATTTTACATGAAACACATTAAATATTTGATCAAGAAAAATCAATACAAATACAATAACTGAACCGTGTGCGTGTTTTTTGGTTTTCACTAAAGTTGTGTTTCCTAATGCTTAAAGAGTTGTAGAAGTTGCTTCTAGATGTTGTAAGTTTTAATCTTTTTCATTTCCTGGGTTTATGACTTTGGTCTTAAAATCATTAGGACGCACTATTATATATGTATTAGATACTAATTAATAGTATATAGATATTGTAAATTCAAAACCACTAATCTACCCTCTTTTTTCTTTTCTTTCTCAAATTAGCATTCCTAATTTCCAAAGCAGGATTCTCATGATTCAGAATATCAGTTAACACAATTAGGAAGTTACCATTTCCAATCCAACTAGTAAAAAAAAGAGTATATTGAAAGACAGGGGCAAAACATCTGATAGTGAAAAAAGAGGTAACCTTGGAATAAAAGGACCAGATACCACCATCTAAGGAAGAGGTGAGAAAGCAAATACGTGCTTCGTGCTGCACTTTGTTGAGGTTGTACTGCTAAATGGCATCATGGTCTTGGGATAATTGTATTGCATATCATCAGTATGCACAACGTTGACGTAATCAGAGATACTCTTTTTGGAAACTGCAACGTAATCAGAGATACAAGTCCTAATGCTACCGTCATGTCAAGATTACCTTGAATATGAGACCAGTCTTCAGGTGGAATATCATGGTACATCTGCTGAATGAAACCCAACGGGATATAGCTAATCCACAGATTCGTATTCTCGGCTGTTTCAGTTGCATTAACCTCCGGCTTAGGAATGGCTGCTCCATCCTTGCCAACCAGTGAGTAAACACGCCACATACCACGAAACCCATGATCTCAGTATGCCATTTGTGAGATAAATTAAGTCCTATTCTGCACCCATCCATTTGTTTTTGGAACCAGCTTGGAATCATACTTCCAGGGATAGTAATACTTAATCGATGATTTACAGCAGCACATTTCTGTAATTAACCAAATCAATCAAGCTTTCTTAAACAATATAAAAGTTGCTTCCAAGATATGGGGAGATTTGCTACACAGGACATAACAAAACATGTTGTTTGGGACCACACTATGACTGATAAAAAAAAAGCTTCTCTATTCCGGTCACCGTCCAGTCCTAAATAAATTAAATGATATTAAACACATAGAGACGAACTACCTTAATGAAAGATAGTTCAGCATGTTATCAAGGTATCTTTCATTCTCTTCATCCTCTAAGAGTTTCTGGTTATAACTCAGCCATATCTTTATACAACCAGTCGCACTCTTTTGATAGATCTCCAATCTTTTCCAGTGAGATACAATTATTTGCTTTCATTACTTGTATGCTTGATGGAAGCCCACATAGTCGTTGAAGTCGGGAGCATTCATTCACTTCTAGGCATTTAAGACGAGAAAGATGGCAGATGCTTGAAGGTAACTCGACTAACTGAGAGTTGCCACTTAAATATAATTCTTCCAAGGAGGACAATGCATCAAGATTTTGGGGGAAACTTTTCTCTTCAATTTGTCTCCAACATAGATTTAGGTTTTTCAAAGAAGACAAAACTTGTCAAACTATGAAAGCCAACAGACATATATATGTGGCCCTGCAAAATTTTCGTACCTAAATCCTAGCCAAAGCTCTTCTAACATTTTCATGCTTCCAAGCTCCTTTGGAAAACTTCTCAGTTTCTTGCAGTTGTGAAGGTGAAGGCATTTAAGATACTTTAACTCACATATAGAGTTTGGTATGTTCTCAAGATTTGAACAGTATTCGAGATTCAAGAAGCTTAGGCTAGACAAATTTATGATTGATGATGGAAGTTCCTTTATTGTAGGGCAAAAAGAAAGATCTAATTGTGATAGTTTAACCATGCATGGGGAGACTTCTGGGAATCTTTCAAGACTCTTGCAATGATAGAGAATTAGAGTTTCCAAGGATTCCATTTCAAGCCTGGATGGTAGACACTTGAGCTGACTGCAACCATTCATGTCCAGGTAGACCAGCCGTCTATGAGATCCAAGAGACTCATGAACCTCCACTAAACTCCTACAACCTGACAAAATTAACCTCTCGATATTCGGAGACTCAGAGACATCTGGAAATGATGTGAGCTTGTCCATGCCTTCGAGGTGGATAAATTTCAAGTTCGGTAGAATCTGACAAGTAAAACAGAAATTGATTAAAAAAACTAATATCAAGTAAAAACCTTTGCTTATCAATGTAAATAACTATAATGCCATAATGGACAAAAAGAAAGAAACTGACTTCATCAGCTAAATACCTTTCGTCCCTTCCATAATTGTTTCATGCCTCCACTGGCTATTTCAAGCCCAACAAGCTTACACATATCTGTTAAAGGCAAAGTCAACTTTGGAACAAGCTAAAATGAAGTTGCATCTAACAAGTCATCCAACCCTGGTCATGTGGATGAACAACTATTGTGTGGATGTGTGGATAATGTTATTTTATAAGAATTACTAAGAGAATATGTTGTTTAATAATGTGAATACGTTCAGTCTCACAGAACTATTGTTATTTTAATGGATTCTCACTAATTCTAATTAATTTTTGTTCTCATGCATCGTTTTTTATTTATTTTAAATCTTACAGAATACGTCTCAATAAACATCCTGATAACATTCTGACAGAATGAGAATAATTAAAAAAAGTCTATAATAACCTTATAGACAATTTAATTAGTGAAAATGCGTAATAATTACAATAATTATATAAGATTGAACCTATTCATATTATCAACCAACATATTTTCTTTGTCATTCTCACAGAATAGCATTATCCACACGTCCACAAATAGATGTCAATCCACATTTGAACCTAGCTCTCTCTCTCTCTCTATATATATATATATATATATATATATATATTATATATCTATATATATATAATATATATATATATATCAATGTTGTAAAAATTAGTCTAGGAGGCCGATTAATCGCTAGGCGGTCTTCAACCAAATAGGATTAAGGCTAATCGGTCGGCTTAATCGGTTTTGGTCTAAAGGGGTCATAGTCGGAACTAGACGGTTCTAATCGGTCCTAGGTGGTCCTAATCGGTCCTAGGCAGTCTAAGCGGCCAAATTTTCTAATTTTCTAATTTTTAAATATTAAACCAAAATTTTCAAAATTTCAGAAGTTTATAGTATTTCAATGTTCAACTAACATATAAAAAATTAAAAAAAAATTAAATTTTAAAGTTTTTCACCAAAATTTTCAAAATTTTTATGTTTTCAAATATACAAATACCCAAATTTACTTCTTTTCTTAAGATATATTAAAATTTGAATAACTTTTCTTATTAATTGCATGATAAATTGTTGTGCTTGTTAAACTTATTATTAAACTTTTATGCTTATTTATTTATATTCTTATGATTAAAGTTAGATTTATAAATTTTTTAATAATTTTTTTAATAATTAATGGTCCCCAATTAATCCCCCGATTAATCTCCGCCTAACCGATTAATCCCTAGACCCCAGTCCACCGACTAGTTTACGTTTAACGTTTTCTGCAACTTTGATATATATTTCCATCTATGATGGTAATATAACACAATACCATTTATATCTAACCACACATACGTACTCTATCTCAACCTCACATGCATACTCTATCTTCAACGTCATATACATACACTAAACATACATATATGCTAATTTATATGATTAAAAATACATAATTATCATATATCTTTTTCTAACATCTTACAAATATTCAACATAATATCACCAACCAAGAGTAAACCACTTCAAGACGTTAGTTTTCACTTCATCTGAAATCAAATACAAACTGATAAGAATTTCTACATGATACAATTCATTGAGTGACTCTTGTATGTTTTATGAACTTCTATTTTGTAAATATTCCTTTGTAGTGGGCAATGAACATTGTAATGATATTCAGCACATGTGTATGCAACATTCTAGAGCTAGTTATACTGCTGATGCTACCAAAATGCATTTTCAAAGGTACGTCATTATTCAAGAACTATGAACACATTGTCCCATTCTTACTATCTTTAATTTTGATATTAATACCCAATTAGGAAAGCTAGTTTAGAGAACGAAGTAGATGATTTGAGAAAAAGGTTAGCATGTTTTCTGCGAGAGAATGTAAATTTAAATGAAGAGCTTTTACAATCTTATCATATCAAATTAAGGTCAATTCTGTCATTTCAATATTAACTTTCTTATTTCACAACATTTATCAAAATTATAGTGTTAACTATTTCTTTTACGGAACCAATTAGCTGACATACATGAAAATGATGCACTTATCTCATCTGCCTTGGCTAATTTGGGCTATAATTATGTCAACATTAGTACTCTTTCACTTTTTCTTACTAGTATTGTGAATCTTAATGAAATATGGGCGCACAGGACTTGGTGGATGAAATCACTACTTGAAAACATGCCTTTAGTCATGGTGTACAGGTTTGTGAAGACAATGTTGATCTTGACAAACATGAATACGAGGTTTAGCTTTTAACTTGAATTAATATGATGGTTTAGATGAGATTTCATACTATTTTTTTTCATTTAATTTTACAAATTACATTTTTAGCAACCTACACAGTCATAGCTTGCTGCGATTAAGGAAAGAATGGGGTCTCATTCTCCTTTTAACCAAAGCACCTTCAAGATAAGAGGTGATCATATATTAGAATATGTTTTTTATTAGTTAATCACATTACTAGAAAAGGATCTTCGTAGATCTTTTGGGTCTCGTGTTGTAACTGTTGTATTTGTGTTACGTAAATAGGTCTACTTGTGTTATGTAATTGGTCTAAACATATGTATTAATTGGGGATGGTGTTTTGTCAAGGGAATTGATATGATTTCATGAAAAAAAATGCATTCAATTTATTTAGCATTAGAATGATTATTTGTATTTGACATACTATATATTGTGAAATGAATTGACTTTTTTTTTTTGTTTTTTGTGTATGATATGTTATTTTGTATTATGAGACATTAATTGTTATTTAATTGGAAAATTATAATAAATATATCTTTTTAAACATTCAAAATTATGACACACAATAATAAATGTCGTCTTTCTTTACAACCCAATGTGTGTCGTTTGCTTGTGACACGCAATTATGTGTCATCTTTCCTTATGATAGGGACTTTAATGACATGCATTTGCGTGTTATTTGTACCCTTTTATGACATGTAATATGTGTGATTAAAATGTTGTTTTCTAAATGTGTTAAGTCCAACGACCATTGACATTTGGAGACACTACTGGAAAATGGTTAATACAATACACCATAATATAATACGGCTGTAAGAAATCCGTATTAGAAAGAGATGTACGGCTCTTATTAAACATGTATTATACGATTCATATACCATTATACACATTCATTAGATATTTTATTTTTCAAATATTTTATTTTTCGGTCCCGCCGTTCAAAAAAAAAAAAAAAAGGTGAAAGGAACAGAGCCCTCGTCTTTTCATCTCACCGCCAAGCTGCCACTTGATCCTCTCCTCCTCCTTACGACCGTCTCACCACCATCTCTTCTCCTCCATACAATCACTAAACCGTCATCTCTCCTCATCCCGACGACCACCGGAGCATCGTCTCCTCCCTCTTTTTAACCAAACAGAAAGGCTTTCATTTTTTTTGGATATCAGTTCGGGAATTCGGGATGTATGATCGATTATTGGAATACGCTCGAATTTGTGAGGCAAAAAGGATCATATGTACCGCATATCATATCATATGTATGGAAGATCGGATCGGAGATAGGGTTGTTGTTTTATTGTCTCTCGATCTTTGTTTTTATTCGGTTATCTATCTTTTTCCACAATGTCGGCTCTAATTTTTGTCACTTACAACCAATTTCGTCTTGATTTTTTACCTAGTTTGTTATTTTGGTTGTTTCATTCAGGATCAAACGACGAAAGGAGGCAAATCAAGCCATGCTACGAGGAAAGTTGATACCAAGTACGATTTAATCTATATTATGTTTCATAGTGCCATCTGTTAGGGTTTATGTTGCTTTTTTTACCTTCAATGAAATGAGGTTTTTGTTCTTCCCCATGATCATGATTTTGGTATTTTTTTAACAATTTTTTTGTTAGAATTTTAGGTTGGCTGTAAAGAAAACTGCAGCCAAGGGGAAGCTGCTAAGGATCCCAATAAACCCAAGGGACCTGCTACTCTGCTAGCACTTTCTTTGTATTCATGTTAGTAATTGTTTTTAGTTTATCTTTTAGCTTTAACTTTTACTTTAATTTCCAATATTTAGATATTTTTCCTTTTGCTAATGTGTTGTGAAGGGAGGACTTTAGAAAGCAGTTCAAAGAAGATAACTTTGAACACAACTCTGTTGTTGCTATGAGTGATCTTCCTTTTTGCTATTTGCCTCGAAATTTATTAAGCTTTGTTCAAGTATTCTCTATCTAAATTGAGTTGAGTTTATGCTTTCAATTTTTACCTTTGGATTTGAATTTCACTTGCGTATTATCAAGTTGGTAAGCTGGTGTGGCAAAATGGAAGTCAATGGCAGGTTCAGTAAGTATTATATGTTTAGTTTTTGAGGCAAAATCATAATGCGCAATAAAAGGTAGAATAAGAATAACCATATAGAATAACATTTGTAGGTTCGTTGAATAAAGGTTTTAACTTTTAACATTTAGAATTAAAACTTATAAGAATATATAGAAAATTGATGTAGTATTTACCTGTTTTTTTTTTTTTTTTTGTGATGTGAATGTAGGACACAACACCTTTTATAGATAAATCTAACAAAAGGAAGAAGGAATATGATAAGAGCTTGGAATCCTACAACAAAAAACTTGTGAAATATTTTTCAGAAGTCATCTTTTAATCATTAATATATCGTAGTTTTGTTTGATTAACTTTGAGCTTGCTGCATGAACGTAGGTTGCAGGTGATAATGATGATGATGATTCAGACAAATCTAGTACCATATAGTCCCTTCCCCAACATTAACAACATGTTAGTACTTGCTTTTAGATTCATAAAACATAAGTCATATCATAATTCCAAAAAGTGTTCACAAAGTTTTCCAAAAACATTTATTCTAAATCCAGGATCATCACTCCTTCTCGATGCAGGTGTACAATCATGCCGGAGCTTTCCCGCGGTCCTCGGAAGTACCTGAAACACATAACACATAACACGGTAAGCATAAATGCTTAGTGAGTTCCCCAAAATACCATACACAGCTCATTAGCCACTCGAGGCTGTAATTCAATAAGACCTTCTGGTCAATGTGTCTCAGTGGGACCCTCCAGTCCACAACTCAGATTGGATCCTTTGATCCCTCTGCACAATACTCAAATAAATATATCATACATATCACAAAGTAATA